ATTTCCTGAAATGTGGTATTAACAAGACCACTGAAATGTCAATGAGTAGATAGATAACCTTGTTTAGCAAAAATTACCCACAAGGAGGTTTTTCAGCGTAGAAACACAATGTCCTAATTATTATTTTTTCTTTAAAATAGTGCTGGAGCCATTGAGTACTCAAAGTCAACAGCAAAATTTAACTAATAGATTTCAGTCATAACCTAAACTTTACATCTTAAACAGAATTGTAAAGCAAGACTGTGTTTATAAGGAAATGAAATGCAGGAAGGGAATTTGCTACCTGTGATATAGTTTAGCAAAAAAAATTATATAAAAAGATTCTTTTGGTCATATAAGAAATGTTCTATTCCCATTCTTCACCCCTGCATGAACCACTAGCAATATCTACCCTGGGCTGTCATTATTTGTTAGTTAACCCATCTTAACTGTAGCTGTGATCACAGACAATAGACTATCTTTCAGAAGATGTCTGTGGAATACTTGTGGCAAGTCCTCTGTCTGCCATGTCACGGGACACTCATCCTGCCAGGTATGGTGTGAACGTCTCCCCAAGTGTAGATCCAAGTAAAGGCTCAATGTCACCACTGGAGACTCAGCAGCAGGTAGATTCTCCCCTTCTTCAGGTCTACAGGCTTATTTCTGTTTCCCATAGTTTTGATAGCTAGCTGGCATTTTATAGTTTTTGTAGGTATTCCTTAAATCCTTGGATCTAGGAATCACAAGGTAGGGTTTAGTCATTCATGTGTTCATCCACAAGTAAGTCAATATTTGCCCAATTTCCGTATTTCCAATATAGAAATGCTGCATTTTAAAATCTAGAACTCCATGAATACTAAGGTATTCATGACTGTATAATTTCATGAAAAATGATAAGAAAATTAGTAATTATAATGGTCAGAAGGAAACTGAAAACCGTGATTTTTTTTTCCTTTATTGAGCTTTCTACCACAAGGAATAGAGAAAGAACATAACCTAGTGTGAGCAACAAGAACTCCGAAGTGTGATGGGCTTGCTTATAAAATGAGCGGTGGATATGCCTGTGGGCCGGGGCAGCTTGAGTCATTCAGAGCTCTATCACAGTCACTCCCATGTGAATATAATCTTTATTTTAATTGATTATTTGGAAATTTCACATCATACACTCTGATCATGCTCCCCTCCCTGTCTTCCCATGTCCTCCTTCCCCTGTGGAGCGTAGTCAATTTCTTAGTGTCCAGCTCCCCAAGGGAGGGTATCTTTTTCCTCCTGAATCTGCACCAGAAGCCACCAGCTGAGGACAGCAGCCAGAGTGGTGCCAGATACCCTACAACTCCCTCCACGAGGTGGGGCTGGCTCTCCCGTACCTACAGACAGTAACATGGCTTCAGGCAGCAGCCCAGTCTATGGGCATCCTCCTGGGCTTCGGAGGTAACACAGACCACAGACATCAACATGGGCCTTGGCCTTCTCAGAATCACTCATGGCCCTCAGTGCTTTCCTGGGCCACAAGCTTCAGCATGGTCTCTGGTGGTTACACACGCCACTTGCATCAACTTGCCTTGTTTGGGTGGCTCCCAGCCATGTGGTGGCCATGGGGCCCCAGTGGAATATAATGTTTATTAAAGTATAAGTAAGAACATTGACTCATTTGAAGTCTAGCTGTTATTACACCCAACAGTCAGCATAGCCATGGTGTAGAACTTTGGCTGATGTAAGATTGATTTTGGAAAAGAAGGTTGATATAGTATATGATTCTATAGCCCAGACTAGTCAGAAATTTACTGTGTAGCCCAGGCTGGCCCTGAAATTGCAGCAATCTGTCTGTCTCTGCTCTCTGCCTTCCAGGTTCTGAGATTACAAGCTGTGCCACTATATCCAGAAAGATATATACGCACACACGTGCATGTGTGTGTGTGTGTGTATGGAGAGAGAGAATATATATATATATATATATGAAAGTTGTTTTAGCTCTGACATGATGGAAGATTATGCAGAACTTGGTGATAATAAGGCAATACCTGTATTCTAGCTTATTTTTTAATTGTTTTCAACTTGTATGAGCTTTTGCCAACTTGATACAAACTGCAGTTACTTATGAAGGAACCTCAATTGATGAGCTGCCTCCATCAGATTGGCTTATGAGCCAGTCTGTGGCATTTTCTTGACTAATGATTGACACGGGAGAGCCCAGTCCACTGTGGGTGGTCCCAGGCCTGGCCAAGTGTTTAAGAAAACAAGCTAAGGAAGCCATGGAAGCAAGCTAGCAATCTGCATTCCTCCATGGTCTCTGTTTCAGTTATTGCTTCCAGGTTCCAGGTTCACTTCCCATGATGATGGACTGTGATGTGGAAGTATAGGCCAACTAAACCCTTTCCTTCTGTGGTAGCTTGAATGAAATGAGTCCACAAGCTCATCGTGAGGGGAACTATTAGGAGGTGTGGTTTGTTGGAGTGGGTGTGGCCTTGTTGAAGGATGTATGTCACTGTGTGGATAGGCTTTGAGGTTTCATATATGCTAAAGCTATGTCCAGTGTCTCAGTTCACTTCCTGTTGCCCGAGGATGTAGCTCTCAGTTCCTTTTCGAGCACCATGTCTGCCTGCACACCACCATATCCTGCCATGATGACAATGGACTAAACCTCTGAACTGTAAGCCAGCCCCAATTAAATGTTATTTTTTACAAGAGTTGCCCTGGTCATGGTGTCTCTTCACAGCCTTAGAAACCCTAACTAAGACATCTTCCCAAGTTGCTTCTGGTAAATCTTTTATCACAGCAACAGAGAAATAAGCTAGAATAAACCCCATTAAGAAATGTGCACATTATCCCTCACAGGGCACTCACGTATGTAGAGGGATGCATGTGTGCACCTCTCCCCATACACGGGACACCACCGCCAGCACATAAGTAAAAAGTGGGTTAAAAGTTCATATTCTAAAATTCCCAGTTGAAAGTCCAGTGAAGGGATACCCATACCGCTTTGCTGGGACCCACTTACCTCGGACTTTGTTAAATAAACCCTCACACCACTCAGCTAAGCCTCTCCAGGTATCACAATCCCATTCACGCACAATAATGACAACAAAAATGTCTAAATCTATTTTTGTTTTCTTTCAGTCCTGGTAAACACTGGGGTCCTACACCATCAATGTTCAAGACACACACAACATTCTAGCACTCTTTTGGGGGGTAGGTATGGAGTTTATTTAGTGGGCATTGAACAGCATAAGAGTAAGGGGTTGTGGAGGGGGAAAGAAGGGGAGAGGAGGCAGGGAACAGAAGAGAAGGAAGAGGAAGAGAGGGAAGGGGTCATTCTAGCGCTCTTAAACTCTCGCTTAACACCCGTGAAGTGCTATAGATGAAGGGGAGGATATGGACTCCTTTCAACATAACCATCTGTTCCCAAGGATCTACTATGATTCGATTAGTCATGTCATTGTGACCCACTTCAGGACAGGATCTTATCTGTTCTGTATCTGCTAACATTTTTTTCCCATTAAGAGAATCTGGATCTTCTGTCCCTGGCCCTGCCCCTCACTGACTACAGCGCTTTGGGAGAGAGGCCCTGCACCTTACCTGGTCAGTGTGGTAAGAGTTGGCCCTGATGGTGTGGGTGCAGGAGAGCTGACCCTGAGGTCATGAGAGCAGGTGAGCTGGCCCCGCCCCTCACTGGGACAGCGCTGGAGATCTGGTGTGGGTGAGGAGAGAGCTGTCGCCAACGACTTAAGTGTGGGAGAGCTGGTCCCTCACTTCGCCAGCTGCCATAGGCAGAAGCTCTGGCCCCATCACTAAGAGCTGAGGGCAGGGATGGAGAACCAGTGCCGGAGGCGTGGGTAAAGGAGAGCTGGCACAGAAGGCGTGGGTGTAGTAGCGCTGATCCTGCCCCTTTCCAGTTACCACAGGAAGGATTGCTGGCCCCACACCTCACCCGAGAATGGGTGGGCTAAACAACTCAGCTACCACCCAGGTCCAGGGTTTTGAGCGGGCTCACCCCAACACCCACCCCGTCCATGAGCTTAAGAAGGGGCTGGTCTGGCAGAACCAAAGCCGCAGGATCTCCATGACATAGGGCAGAGAGGAGTCTGGTGAAGATCCAGTACTGATAGTCAGAGGCTTTGAACCAGTCCAATGCCTTATTATGCTGGACACTCGCAAACAGAGCTCTTTAGGGAAAACAGTATACTGTAAGACACGCTGCAACTTCCATGGAGAGATTTTTGCTTTGTTTTGTTTTCTTTTGTTTGGGGAAGGGAGGATGAAAGGGCAGAGGGCAGAGGGCAGATATGGAGGGAAGAGGAGATGAGTGGATTGGGGTGCATGATGTGAAAGTCACAAAATATCAATAAAAAGCTAAAAAAAAAACCTGCATCAATACTCTCTTGGGTATCAACTTCCTTCTCCTGCACAAGTGAGTAACAGGCAGTCCGATAGCTTGCCTGGGTGAGCTTGGTTCCGTGTGACTGGACCAGGTACTGGAAGCAAATGAAGCCATCTCGTGTAATTTTTGCCGCTGAAGAAACTGTATTGAAGTACAAAGGTACACACCTCCACGGTCCTCTATACATGGTTCCAGCCCAACCTTCGTGAGGGTCTCACGCTCCCAAAGGCTAAAGGAGTTCAGACAGTTAATATCCTCCAGAGGGATATTTAAAATGAACTAGAAACATCTTTTGTTAGTATTGGGATGCCCTCACCCCAACCCCATGAACCCCGCCTGGTCGCCAAGCCCCTGCCTGGTAGATAAGAAGACATGGCACGTACATACAGAATGGGCTCCTACGCCTCTCAACACATCCCGAGTGAAGCAAAGCCGAGCCATTACAAAGCAGAAAACTGACGGCGATGAATACTCCTCAGCGTCACGTCTGATATGATTAACAATTTATTTTGGCAACACCCGGGATGGATTTCATATGGTTTTCCTGAATTCAGTAGGATTCCTGCCAGCAGAATCAGGAACACTGAGAAATAATCCCGGCTGGGGGGCGGGTGGGGGAAGCCATCTTGCTGTGTTTCGCAGCCTTGCCTCTGATCTGGAGACCAGCCGTTGCTCAATCCTTCTTTTTCCAACTGCTCTTCCACGGCTGTCTTGCGAGGCTGGAGTTGATGGATGGATTTATAATGAGCCTGTAGATAGCCCCGAGGACGACGCTTTGTAAGATGGGAGAGGAAGCATGCTGCAGCCAAATATTTTGCAATATACGAGAACTCTTAAAATATGGATGTTCTATCCCACTTGTCAGCTTTAAGAAGCACAAATGTTACACGCTGTGGGCTTCCAGAGTGAACTATCTAGCCAAAATTCCCTCTCAAGATGAAAGAGAGGTCCTCTCTGACTGAGGAATCCTTCTTCACCGGAGCCGGTGGTCCCTTCTATGAGGGGGGGATTTCGCAAACATGACTTTGTTTTTCTTGTTCTTGTTTCAGCCTTCTCTCCTCGATTCCTCCTCAGGGTGAGTTTCAAAGGAGGACCTGGGCAGGCATCCCTGAATTATTCTCTCTCTTCATCTTTCTTGGGGATCTCTTCACCTGCCGAGAACAGAAGTCCCCGTATGTCTTCAACACGCGAGAAGTCAGCAGAAGAGTCCTGACTGATTGTGTCTCTGTCTACTTGCTTGGGCATGTAAGATACAAGAATTACATGCTCTCAGGAAGACACTCCCAGCTGACAGCTGCCTCTTCATCTCCCTCCTCCTCTCCCCCTTCAGCCCCTTCTCCCTCTTCCTACTCCTTCTTTTGAGATGAGAGGTTATGTTACCTCGGCTGGTTTTGAACTTCTAAACTCAAGTAATCCCTTGTCCTCAGCTCCCCAAGTCAGAGAGCACAGCATACATAGTGTGCCCAGAAGCCATACTCTTAATACTAACATCACTAATAAAGCTTCTCTACCTGCCTCCACCGATTCTTTTATCTCTCAACTAGTTCTCAGTGAGAACATTGGGTGAGGAAGAAGGGTGTTGTCTCCTGCAAGCAAATTCAATCCCATACAATATAGGAGTCCACGCTGTTTTCTTTTCAGTTAAACATTTCCTTGCCATCAGCTGCATTAAAGGAAAGCCTTTGTATGGTGCATCGGATTATCCAGCCAGCGTCCTTCCAGGCGGAGGATTGAGGTGGACACGCAGCTGATCTCCGCATGCCACTTCAGTCTCCGCACACTCTTTCCGTCACACAATTCTCGGGCCCACATTAGGGTAGATCGAAGCTCCACTATTCAGACTGCAGTTGGATGGAGTGAAAATCAGCCCATGGCTCTGTTTTTATCTTCAGTTTAGAGGTCAGTCAAGAAGGGAACAGCCACTATTAAATTAAATGCTAATATTAGTGAGGAGGAAATGAAAGCCAACAACCAAAGCATGTCTCCCAACCCCCCATGACCTACAGCAACGGCAATTGTCAGTGGGCATTTGAGCTAAGAGTGCAGTCAAGGTATTCTATTGTCAAAGAGATGCCAATAACTAAGGACACGTATCCGTTTCTGTAAGATGAGATCAGTAGAGGAAGGAAGGCCCTGCCATTAACCTTCCTAAAGCGCTAACTTTAATCTTTGATGTTTGCCTTGTGAAATAGATGTTATCTCCATTTTAAGACCTGGGCAAACTGAGGTCCCGGCGGATAGAGCAAAACTTGTTCAAACTTAACCCAGGCACTATATGCTAAGATCTGGTTCAAACCTATGTTCTTTGACTCTTTTGACCTCAAGTCTACATGCTTTAAAATGCAACGAAACTTGAACATATCTGTGATAAGTAAGCAAAATAGTTGGGCTTGACACATGGATTTATTGTCGTGTTTTTTTTGGTACATGAGATGAGACCCAGGACCTCATACATGTTATGCAGGTAGCCTACCACACCCTCTCCATGATCTGAAATATTATTATTTTTTAGTGTATATGTGTATGGTGTGTGGGTGTGGGGATGCCCCTGCTTCACCACAATTGGGAAATCAGAGCACAGCTCTCTTGCTCTATTACGTACTTTGCTTCTGTATGTTCGTCTATGAGTGTGTACGTGGGCACACACAGGGGACATGTACAGGTCAGAAGACATATTTTGTTAGCCTGTTTTCTTCCTCTACCATATGGGTGTACGGATTGAATTCAGGTTGCCAGGCTAGGCGGCAAACACCTTTAACAGCCAAGCCATCCGAGAAGACAACTTTGGAAACTGGCTCTCACCTTCTGCCTTACTTGAGGAAGGGTCTCTCCTGTCGTTTGTGTCACTTTGTCATACTCCAGGCTACAAGCTTCCAGACAATTCTCCTGTCTCCTTCTCCAAGGTAGCTATAGGAACATTGGGGTTACGGGTGCATGACACCCTAAAAAAGCTTTTGAGGACATTTCAGGGGTCCAGATCCAGGGTTGCTATAGTAAGTGCCTTTCCCCACTGAACCACCTCCCTTGCCCATGACTAATGAGCTTATGATGCTATGAGACACAGTTCTGAAGACTGTTTACAGATCTCTATTGGAATAATATGGCATTATTCAGAAGATACTGCGACCCACTTCATCAATCTTTCTTTGTCTTTCAGATTTAGAAGCAACACAGATGAGGACACATCTAACTGTGCCATGCGTGGACCAGGGAAACCTGGTGTCAGTCAAGGTCCACTTCACCCATGTTCAAAGGGTTACGTACATATCGAGGAAATTCTAGCACTTCAGTTCACAGATCACAGGTGATAGTCCCGAGCACTGGTGTACCAAAAGGCAAGAATTATTTGTTTGAACCCTCATGCAAGTAACATGATGTTTCTGATGAGACTGAATGAGCAGAGGCCTGGTAAACAACTTGGTATAATGAAGCGGAGGCCCAGATAGGACCGTCCATAGCACAGGTCCGACTAATCCCATCTCTGCCCTCCGTTGTTCCTGTCCGTCTTCCCCCACTCCCCACTGTCTGGGCACTCATCTCTGCATAAGCCCCACCTTCTTGGCAAAGCCATCTGAACCATGTGTTTTTTATCATCCGTGCACCCCCCCAAAGCTGAGTCGATCCCACTGTGTCTAAACTTCACATTCCAGCAACCTTTGCAGATGGGTGTGAGGAGTGAGGCTTCTCCAGGAAGGGAAAGTCCCTGAAACACACACAGTTATAGATGCTTGGTAAAGCCCTTTCATGGAGGATATTTTATTTGATGTTCACAATTGCTTTGAGGCAAGGAAGATCCTGGCCTCATCTTGCAGATAAGGAAATTGAGGCTCTCAGCATCAGGCTGTAATAATAAAGACAAGATCAGCAAAACCACAACCAACCATCAACCACATATGTAAGGTCTGACCTTCTTAATAGCATTTCCTAGACTTCTGTACCAATGACTGTTAAGTATCCATGGGAATAACTCCATAATGATGATAAAATAAATTCCCTTCATTGTATAGCAATTTTTTTTAAAAAAAACCCATAAAATTATATGAAGTCTGTTGAAGCTAATGTTGAATTCAAGTGCAATAAAGTAACTGTGTAAATGCTTTGCTTAAAAGGACAGCACCCTAATTAAGCAGATTGTTAAAAGGATGGAGCACATGAACGCATCTTCTACACAGGATTTACTAGGACACATTGTACCCACAACCATAAAGTGGGAGCAGCTGTTGCCTGGAACGTAGACAGAGACTCATGAAGTAGAAGGTAGGCATCACAGTAAATCTTGTTAAAGTGGGGGTGCCTCCATGTCGTCCTAACCCTGCCTTCCTTTAACCGATGGCTTCATTGCATCTTCTGGGTGGCAGATTCTGCTTTTGCAGGTAGGTTGTCCAGTTTGAGCCTTCCCCTCTGTAAATGGCAGCTTTGTTCGAGAAGTTTTTTTGTGAGGAGGGGTGTTTGGCCTATGATAGCAGGTTGTAGTCTGTCGTTGTGGGGAACGAAAGGTAAGAACTTACAACAGACACATGGCATCCACAGACAAGAGCAATGAGAATAAATACACCCTGTTCTGTGTGTCCTCAGCTAGCTTTTGCCTTCCTTGGGTTGTTCAGGAGTCGCTGTCTAGAGAATAGTGCTTCCTTCAGAGGGCTGGATTTTCCCAGGTCAATTAATGACCAAGACAATCACCCCACGGACATGTCCACAAGCCAACCTGATCTAGGCAAAGACTCTTCCCAGGTGGGTGGAGGACGTGTCAAGTTTACAGTGGAACTGACCAGCACAACCCGCCCCTTGCCAGCTTGAAGCCCAAACACGTCAATTTGGGCCATAAATTTCCATCCCATCTCCCCGATCTCATGTTAATATCATAGTATAAAGTACAGTACAACTCTTATAAAATGAAAAATACAGTCTCCAAGACTTCCAACACTTTAGAAGTCCAATGTCTTTTTTATTTTGTTGGCTACAAACTCAAGTGACCTGACTTACCAAAGTCCACTGCCTTTCTTTTCTTTTTTTTTTTTTTTTAAAGCATTTCTTGGGAGCAGGAATTTTAGTTTATAATGTGTTCTTCATTTGCTTACACTGTTTTTTATGCCTCTGACTTTGAGGCTTTCGGCCTCAGGCTATAATAATAAAGGCAAGACCACCAGAACCTCAGCCATCAGCAACACGTGTCTGGCATTTGGCTAGTACGCCATGGTCATAAACTGTCATGGATCTACTTACTGGAAAAGCATCTTATCAATATAGTAGGAAATAGCAAGATTCTGACGCGATTTCATGTGTGTGTCTCTGTGACATTAGGGTGTTGTTCAGGGTATCACGACACTGGGACCAAGCATTTTGGTTGTAATGGGTAGGCGTTCCATCCATACATCAAGACAAGGCTTCAAGCTCACCTGCTTTAGGAAGCAGTAACTCTCCCTGGGGACTGATCTCAGCATTCAGGGATTCAGTTTGTCTTGTGTTCATTACCGCATTGTTCTCTGGGAGAAAAACATTTTTCCCCAGTTATTTCACGTGTATGTCTAAAAAGCAGAGCAAGCCCTGACTGGCTTCGCACTGGGGCCTCTGTCTCACACTCAGCACAGGAAAAGGAAAAGCATCCCAAGTGTTCCCATCAGAAAGACAAATCCAAGAAACCAAGCGCTTACTAAGTGTTTAGAAGGGCTGGAAGAGGAGACACGGGGCCAGGCGGGGTGGGGGGTGTTCGGGGGTGGGCACCTGATCTTTTGATTTCAACATCAATCAACACAGCTGCCAGCTGGAGGTCAGAGCACCTGCTGCTAGTGCCACTTCTGCTTGAGACTGGTGACCAGGAAGTGGACCGCGGGCTACAGCTGCTGCTTGCTTTGGTTGGCACTCGCTTGTCCACTGCGCAGCTGTAGGGAAGGCCCCGCCTCTCCTCTGTGTTCCAGGCATCATTGCAATACATTTTTACTGAGAGAACTTACTTCTCAGCCAATACTCTGGCTGCCTTGTAGACCCTCCAAGGGAGCTTAAATGAGGGCAGTCACAGGTCCCTCCCACCAGCATGTGTCATGGTTAACATCGGTTGTCAACTTGGCAGGATCGCGGCCGAGGAGACAGACTTCGGAAGACACGAGTGAAACGCGTGGCGCCTGCCATGGGCGGGAGATTCAGACCGAATAACAAAAGAAAATGGTGAATTGAGTACCATCATTCATCACTTTCTGCTTCCTGGCTACAGATGCAATGCAGGCAACTCCTTCAAGCTCCTGCAGCCACGCTTTCCCCACCATGATGGGCTGTGCACGCATCATGAGCCACAGAACAGCCCCTTCCTTCCTTTAGCGACTCTTACAGGTGTTTTCTCTCAGCAACAAGAAAAGCAACTGATACAACAAGTAATATCTGGCACCAGGCTTCACACACTGCTTGGTGGCCTCCCCCTGCCACCCCGTGCCCTCATTGTCACAAATGGCATCACTAGATGAACGTCATTGCCCCAAATTCTAGCTAAATCGGATGAGCTGATGTATCTCAAAATTTTGTGACTGGCAGGCCAAGACTGGGAAGTGTTCACTCAGACCTGAGTTCAATCCCCAATACCACGTAAAAACCTCAGCGGGCAGCACGGGTCTGCAATCCCGGAAACAGGGAAGCAGAAACAGAAGAACGTTTGGGGCTTCCAACCAGCTGGCCTTGACAAATTGTCACGTTACAAGTTCTGTGAGACCCTGTCTCAAAAAAATAAGGTGGAAAGCAATACGGGAAGGAACCAGATGTTGACCCCTGGCATGTTCACACCTATGTACACAAGTACACACAAACATAGACATACACATCAACACATACGCATGTAAAAGAAAATGTGGGAAAAAAATTAAACAAGCACACCTGGCAGGTTCTATCCTGGCTTTTGGATAGCTTGCTTCTGCTTAAAATGCATTTTTTTCTACTCTGCAATAATCCAATATGGCACAAAGAAACAAGGTCTGGAGGGACAGACAATGGCTTGAACTTCATCTCTACTTTTAGGATGGTTTGTTTAATGTTTCCGAGTCTTAACCTCTCACTCAAACTCTGAACTGGATCGTATTGCTATCAGAATCTGGGGGAGGGAGGCATAGAGTACAAACTGCAAGGCTTTTTGTAGAGGTCAGGAAAGCTGGTGGTGAACACGTTTAGCTGGGTCCCAGACGAGGAATTGCTCTCAGGCTAAGGAAGTTACCTTGTCCAGGACATGTATCTTCCTCGAGTCCATCCGTGTTTAAGGATTAGGTGGGATGTGACCGTCAATATAGACTGACAACTTGATGCGATCTAAAATCACCCAGAAACTAACTTCCAGGCATGCCTCTGAGGGGTTATACAGATTAGGTTAGACTCTCAGCAAACCTGGGAGGGATTTATCTGCTCATCAATTGAGAAGACCCGATTTGGGAGGCACCATTCTGTGTACTCCTGCCCTGGACTGAATAAAGAGAAGGTGAAATGAGACAATCCTCACTCTCTGTTGCGGGATGGCAGGTACCATGTAACCAGCTGCCTGAGGCGCCAGCTTCCTGGACATTCCCCGGGGCCATGGACTGTACCCTCACACTGTGAGCCAAAGCAACTGCTTTCTCTCTTAAGTTGCTTTGGTCATAAAAACAGGTAAAGTAAGCAAGACGGAACAAAGAAGTTCTGAACCCCCTTGCTGCACTCAGGGCAACTCTGAGGGACCCCAGGCTTGAGAGCTCCTGGGAGATGAGGGGAGGGGTCTCCTGGACCAGACCACAGCTCAAGTCCTCTCTTTGTCCTGTCCTGCATTCTTCGCTTTCACAGATGACTGTCCCAAGGAACTCCTCCTAAACAAAACAAACAAAACAAAACAGAAAAGCAAAGCAGTAAATAAATAGATAAACAAACGCCTACACACAAATCTTCGCTGGGAGTCTGTTTCCTGGGAAACTCAAACACAGAGACTGGGCAAGCAGGAAAAAGAATTTGCTAAAACGTTAAGCGGCCCCCAGCTCCTCCCAGGAAGACTGTCTAGGCAGGTGTGGAGAACAGTGCTAAGGAAGAAGAAAGACCCCAGACTATCCTGAAGGATCTACAAAGGAAGGTGGCACTCACAAACTGGGGGAATTATACAAATATAAGTGGGAGATTAAAAGAGGTTGGACTCCAGAGCTGAACTGTTGGCACCAGAGATCAATTGGTATGTTCCTCCCTGAGGGGCAGGCCACCTCTCCTCTTCCCAGCCTTCTTCTGTTGCTTGCAGTTCTTTGTCTACGGTTGAGGATCTGTGGGCAGTTCAGCTCTGGAAACATACAGGCTAGTACCATCATATGGACTCAACAGATTGGGAATCTATATGCTTATACAAATACATATGTGCATTTACTAAGAAGTGATGAGAAAAGAGATCATGGATTTGAAGAAGACTGGGGAGAGGTATATGGGAGAGTTTAGAGGGACAAAAGGGAAGGGAGAAATGTAATTAAAATACAATCACAAAAATAAACACAGAAGCTACCTTTCTTTATTAAAAAAAAAAAAAGAGGTTGGACTCACCGAGAAAGAAGCACGGCTGTGGTAATAGTAATGGAAATGTCTGGTAATGAAGCCTCGCTAACCCCACTTTGATCAGAGGGTTGCGCGGGGTCATCACCTCAGCCACCGACAGTTTCCAGGCTTCAGAGAGCAGCTGGTAGAGCCTGCAGCCCTGCCCTTGGGAACCCACCAATCTGAAGGGTCAGGCTAGGAATAGGTGATCAATAAATCCTCAGTGATCAGTCCCACCCTCTGTCCCCCTAGGGCTCACATCTAATGCTTTCTGTCCTTACAGTCAGTGGTCTTGGCTGCTCTCCAGCACCTGATGAGACATCATTTTTACAGTCACGATACGGTGCAGCAAGTGAGACGGAACCGCAAATGCAGACGGTGATTACTGGCCTTACCCCCACGGAGCTGCAAGTCCCTGTATCCAAGTGTCTCCATTTGACTCTCAAAACCAGAGTGCCAGTTGTGACCTTGCCCCCAAGTCCACCTTCCCCACCACTCTAGCACCTAAGTGACCCTTTCCCAAGTCGTCCAGGGATGGATGCTATGCTTTCTACCTGTGACCTGCCAGTTACACTAGGGAAATGATCCCGAGTCTTTCATTTCTCTCTGTCTGCATTACCACCTGCGGAGTCACCGGCCACCCTTCCCACACTCCATTAACGACGACAGCTCCCCGCATGAAGCCTCCTGCTCCCACTTTCCGTACACAATCTATTCTACATGATCATAGCACACCGTTTACAGCGATCGGACTGCAGATGAAATCTGAAGTCCCTGCTCTTCACGGATTCCGCGCTCAAGCTCTGACTCAGGTGCACCCACCTCCCCACCCTCGACCTTCTGCCGTGTTCTTCCCGGGGCTCCACCACTGTATCACACCCATCCCTGGTGCCATTGGCACCTTCAGCTGTGGGTGTGCCCTCATACTGGGTGTCTGACTCCTTTTTCCAAGCTGGCCTCAGCTCAAACGTCACCTCCTTTAGACTTGCTAGGTACAGACTCTAAAGCAGTCACTTCACCCATGTGCCCTCAGCCAGCTCTGTGCTATGTTTCCTTCATAGCATTTACTGCAGCCTGAGATGCTCAGCTTGTTCTTCAATGTCCTGCTCTTCCACTGAGATACATGTGCTTGTAGGATGTTCCCACCTTGTCTACCTCCTTCAAAACTGTTGCCCTGTGTCTGGAATACTATCTGGCATGTAGTAGGTGTTCTGTAAATATTTCTTGTGTGAAATAACCTAATTTTTCAAGCTGTCTTCTTTACCTAAGTTTAGAGCGTGGATTTCCTTTCTTAAGCTTACGTGCACATGTCCTCAACAGGTCTAAGAGTTCCGGAAGTCTGTGAACGTCAAGGAAAATAATTGCATATTTACTTCACTAAAGTGTAAACGAACCCAAACCATACTAACATTAGTGGTATACATGACTTGTAGTTTTGTTTTTGAAACAGGGTTCTCTGTATAGCCCTGGCTGTCCTGGAACCCACTCTGTAGTCCAGGCTAGCCTCAAATTCACAGAGATCCTCCTGCCTCTGCCTCCCAAGTGTTGGGCTTAAAGGTGTGCACCACCACTTCTAGATGGTATATATAACTTTATCGTCAATATATATGAGATGTTCTCAAATGGCATTCCATTCCATCAGGTACCCCAAACATTGGTTTTGTTCACCATTACTTCAAAAATGTGATAGCTGTCAGCTTGCTGCTGAATTGATGTACAAAGTATTAATTAAAAAGTACAGGGCAGGAAGGCAGCCTAGCAGTCACAAGGCCCTGGGTTCAATCCTAACCACTGAAAATGAATAAACAAACATACAAAGCGCATAGAATATTACTCCATAAAAATAAATCGCATGATTAGTATTAAATTAAGCATTTCTATTGTAATTCCATATGTTTTATATTAAAAAAAATCAACCTGAACATTCCACGAACCTCATCAGACAACCAAGAGTTTCCCATAAAAGGTAGAGAGTTGCATTAATCAAATATCATAGCTACCATAGGAATGCCATGTGTATTGAAATTTAAATTATAAAATTTAAGTGCTTGAGAAGGGCATGTGGTTAATGACTGCCATGGGGGACAAAGTCCATTCGGAGGATGCCTATGGCTGTCATGGTGGACAGAGCCAATACGGAGGATGCACATTCTTCAGACAGCTCTGCTGGGTAGGACTGCTCTAGGATGCAATGTTCCTCATGTGACCTGGCTTTTCCTGCCTATCCACACACCCCATCTGCAATATCAGACCACATAGTCTCTGAAATGGGAGCAAAGAGACCATCTCTCAAGAGTTTTATCAACAAACCTTTGAGGCAGTTTGAGGGTCAGTTGCATCCCCTTATACAGAGAGTTGAGTGTGCTGGGCAGCATAACAATGCAGGTGCTCCTGGACTTAGCGTGGGACGACATTCTAGTGAACCCTCCATAAGTTGGATATCAAGTGCAGAAAACACCTTCAAAACTGCATCAATCATACTGAGGCTATTAAACACCAACTTCTCATCAGTGGACCAGCACTATGGGTTGCTTGGTGGCTGGGATGCAGTGGACTGACACTGCCCTTGGCCCTTCTTCACTAGGGTATCATAGAACACACTGCTATCTCAACACGAGAACAAAATTCAAAACTGGCGATAGGTTTCTACTAAATGCGTATTGCTCTTGAACTACCTTAATGTTGGAAAGTTTAAGTTGAACTGTCAAGAAACAGGTGCCATTGGTATCGCCTTTACATCATTCTCAGCTTTCTGTCCTGACCAAAGGAAAATAACTGAGAGTAACTAAGAGTGGGTAAAGAAATCCAGAATGGAACAACTCAAGTCCCAGGCCAGCAGCTTGAGAGACCTTCCGGTAACTAATCCCTGGGCTTATGTGGAAAAATATGGCCAAACAGTGTACATTATAAGTACCTTGACTGTTGAGCCTGGGAAGAAGGTCTACTAGATTCCAGATAGTCCAGAGCACCAGCAAGGACTCAAAATGGGCTTGAGTCCTCAAGGAGGACAGTTAACCCCTTCCAAGTCAGGAGAGGACAGACCACAGTGGTCCAGAGAGATACCTCAGGAGTGAGCTTCCTCCATAGAGTCTGGCCTCCCAGTCCAGCTACTCTGCAAATGCCAGAAGGGTCATATCTATGGGTCAGGACAGCTCAAGGGAGCTCCCTCTCTCCTAGTGCCCCAACGTTCTTGAGCCTCCCCCATAGCTAGACCCCATCTTGGAGAGTAACAGGACAGACTACTGTCGCCTGGAAAAACTGAAAAACTGACTCACCCACAAAGACAGAACTTACTGGAATAACTCAAGTACACCAGCTGGACCAAACTTCAGTCCATTGGCACCTCTGTTAGTCATCAGTGTGGGCGTCGGGGGACAGTAAAAGGCGCTGGGTCGGTTATAAGAAGTTCTGCTGTTACCATTTTATTTGTACACTTGAGTCTGACATGAGTAAGCCTGAGACTGCTCCTGTTCAAGGTCATGCAGACCCTTGAGTAGTCCAAACATGGCCTAGCTAGGTATGGTGTCATGTGGTGTCATATGCCTTTAGTCCCAGCACATTGGTAGAGGCCAGCAGATTTACATAGTGAGTTCAAGGCCAGCCTGGTCTGGATAATAAATAAGTTTTAGGCCAGCCAGGGATACAATAGTGGAACAGTTTGCAAAACAAAGCAAACATGGCTCATGGCATCTTCTGATACACGATGAAGGCAATTTTCATAACTTCTCAGCTAAAGGAACCAGGGATCTATTAAGTGCTGGACCAGTGATCGAAGGTCACCTTGCCCTATGTGCCTTCTTTCATTCCTATGCCAAGGAAGCTAAGGGGCCCTGGTTTTCCCGTTCCCACCACTGCTCCTGGCCAGCCCTGCCAAATGCATTTCAGGGTCACTCTATCTGTTCGGCACTGGACACTGGTGAGGTTAGAGTCCTAGTCTCCAAACAAGAGCTAACAAAGAACCTTGTCGATCGGCGATGAGGCACAAGTGTACAGCCATCTCCCTTGTCCTTGCTAGGGTGCAAGAACACTTTTCCTTGAAGGAGTGGGATCACTCAGAGACCAAGGTCAACAAGAGGGAGGGCAGAGTTTGCTAGTTAAGATGACGTGTGCCAGCTTGAAAAATCTAGAAGAATGGAGTATTTCCGATGAGTTCCCCTCCAAAATGTAACACCCCTGGCCTTGCCTCCACGTCTCCAGCTCCTTAGAGCCTGGAGACGACATTCACCAGTTCGTTGATTTCACTGCATATGTGTGCACTTCCCTATGTCCTGCCTGTACAAGGTTAAAACCCTCCATCCCATTTACACTCAGTAGGAACCTTAGGTGAGGACCTTAATTTGAGGACAGTTTGCCCCCTCTGAAACTGATGCTGGACTTAGATTGACGGTGTGGTGGTTCTGGGATGTTGGATCCTTAAGTGACGTCTGGGTCGTGAAGAGGAATGCATGCTTGAACGTAGCCGGTTGATCCACATTCTCATGAGACGGGGTTAGTTACCATGGCAGCATACTGTTGTAAACTCAGGCTGCCCCTGTGTTCTGTCTCTTCTGCAGTGCTTGCCATTTCACCTCCTACCATATTACAAGGCCCTTGCCAGAGGGGCCGTCACGCCTTTCCACTTCCCAGCCACCACAGCTGTGTATCAAACATTTTTCTTTCCTTTAAAAGTGACCTAGTCTTGGATATTTTATTATTGCCACAGAAAAAAGACAGGGGTTTTGCATATTTCATTAGTTAAGGGGCATATAATTAACGTCCTAATGATAATTAAGAGGCATATAATTAACACCCTAATGATAAGAGGTGAGCACACATGTAAAAAAAACTCAAACCAAGGAAAGCCAACATCCCACAAGTTTAGCATGAAGCAAGAGAAAGGACTCAGCAGATAAACCTGTGGGGCTGTGCTCACCTAGCGTGTGTGGAACCCTAGTTAACCCCCAGTACCACTGGTGGGAGCGGAGAAGCACGCGGGGCTTCACTAGTAAGGTCTTTGAGCACTCCAGGCTCGACACCCACCCCCTTGTTCCTAGCTCCTCTGCCCAGTTCCTGGCCCAAGAAACTGTCATCTAAGCTCCTTGTCTGCCCTGCTTCATTACTCTTTGTATCTCTCTAGACTAAGAGAGACACATGACCCCAAACTGTCCCATGGGCCACTCTCGACCCAGCCACCTGCTCTACCTACCTGGAGAGTCAATTCTTTTCAGGCTGATGTCAGGCTTCTTTAGAGACCCGCCGTCCTGGGTGGAGAGTCCAGGAGAGGGTCAAACACTGTCCCACGCCCGGTCTTGCCAGCAAGAACCACGCGGGACACAGGATCCTTCTGCAGAAAAGCTTTAATGCCCCTTGGGAGAGCGAGCATCAACCAACATGGCTGGGGACCCAGATATGAAGGAACCCACTCCTTATATAGGAAAACAGTCCTTGCTTCGGACGTGTCACTCTTGGATTGGTCAACTGTCCATTATCCCAGATGATGCCTCGGGAGTAGGCGGGGACTCAGTGGAAAGTTACCGCGCACCTGTGCGCTCACCTGGCGGTGAAGCCGGATGTCAGCGCCATCTTGTAATGGAGAATGTGGCTGCGGCCCTCTACAAAACACTTCGGGGAAATACATTGATTCGCCATCAACTTCACTTATGTGCACGCACGCACATGTCTGTGCACGCACACACATACACAAAACAACAACAAACAAAAACCCCTACTGCTTTTCCCTTGAAAGGAAATGATTTAGCTATTTAATCAGTAGCATGGAACCCATGCCATACAGGAACTTCAGTATTCACCGAGTGGCAATAGCTCCCACCTGCCATTCATCACCCTTCACAACGTTCACGGTTTGTTTGGTTCTAACCTAGGTCATTTAAGAGATTTTCTTGGAAAGAAAAATGTGCGAAGAAACCTGTTCCTTTCAAGTTTCTTCTCCCCTCCTCGGGTCTGATGGAGTCTTAAGGATTTCCTGAGGAAATGTTGAACTATTAGCTACTTACAAGAAGGCAACAGTACAGAACATAAATGCTGTTGCAGCTTAAACAAGCAGATGGGAATATCAACAGGGAATTCCTACAGGGATCCCTTTTAACAACGCAACTCACACAATAACTTTTGCTGTTGTTGTTGTTTTGTTTTTGTTTTTGTTGGTTGAGACAGGGTTTCTTTGCGGAATAGCCTGACTGTCCTGGAACTCTCTCTGTAGACCAGGC